TGTTTTCACACTAGGGGGTTTTCGCCCATGTAGGTTTCGTTGCAGAGGAGTTTCACTGTCCGACAAAATAATATGACGCGACTTGCATGAAAACCGTGCTACTTTCGAAACATAAAAATAAACACGAATCATGACACGAGGAACGTCCTATCTGGTCGCTATGGTAACATATAAAGTGGCCTTCAAAATAAGATTTGCCGCAAATACAAAGCGCATGAAAAATACGACTCACCGTCGCCGCATGTTATGCAGAGTGGGCTTGGTGCGTGTAAATCTCCCCTTGAGATAAAACCGTATTTTAAGTAGGACTCCTGATACTGTCTACTAAATGTAGCCTTCTATTATTTATTCTTTCTGTGCGGCCCGGTACCAAATGACCCACAGACCGGTGCCGGTCCGCAACCCGGGGCTCGGGGGACCACTGAGCTAAATGACAGATTCATATTGATAGTTGATAACTCGGGTAGATGTGCTACATTGGAGCTGTGTAGGACATCAACTATAATGTAAGCTGCTGTACATTCCAGGTACACAGAACAATCACCGTGTGTTTCGTACAAGTCAGGTGCTTTGATATGAAAAATTGTGTTAACATGCTACATGACAGACGTTACACATAGTAAACATGCTAGCGCTATACTGTGGATGCATCGGACACGAATTTATGACGGAAATATGCCGCATGTGGTGTGTGTGTGTGTGTGTGTGTGTGTGTGTGTGTGTGTGGGCCAATATGGTGCGCAAATATGCGAGAGGACAACGGATGGACGTCCATTAAATACTGGATGGCAACGTGCTCCAGCAGAGGTGTTTTGGTTATTTTGTTCTATTTTGTCGTTTGCTGCCGAGTCTTTGTTGTCGGGTTAGGATGTTAGATCTTTTCAGAGCTGGTTTCCATTGTGATCACAATGTGGAAAAAAAAAAAGAAAGAAATCAGAAATAACTCTCCTCAAAAACTCCCCTGAGTTCAGTTGGGTAACTTTGGAAAAAAATGAAGTTGGCCAATGTCCAAGGAACAATTCATTTATTCCTCTTAATTTAGGGATTCGTTCAGCCACACACGCCACCCGCCATGAGACCTTCAGAAAATTCTCAGAAATCAGTATTGTTCCGTGCAAACATCTGTTGTTTTTTTTTTTGGGGGGGGGGGGGGTAAAATATCACATTAAACTGGATTTTCATCTAAGATCAGGAAATAGCACGTCGCCTCAGAACCTTCTTTAATCTGCCAACAGCGAGTTCAAAAGCAATAGAAAGGCATCCGGTAGTGGGGGAATGCCGATCCAACAAGCGTTATGCAAACGATGCCGAGTGAGGTGCTAGCGTTGTCTAGAAGCGCCTCAACAGAAACCGCAGGAGTCCTTTGTGTGGACGGAGTTGATGTCGGTCTCCCACTTCAGGTCCTAAGAGCCGGCAACTTAAAGCTCTCAACTGTTGACACGGGGCCGCTGGAGAGCGCGCGCTGCAGCTGGGCTCAACAAGGTTTCCTTAAGTTCCAAGATCATCTTTAGGGCCTTGAGGGTGTCCGCTTCCAGGTTGCGTCTCCTGCACCAGAGCGCCGCTCGCTCCGCTTCCTGTCAATGTGCCGCGATGTCGTCCGGGTGCAGTGAGGTGCAGTCCTTTGTGGCGAGACAGAGAGAGAGAGAAAAGAAAAGAAAAGGGGGGCGAGGACGCATGCATGGTGGGCCCCGGCGCTGATGATGCATGTGGATGAAGGTGGGTTGATTTCGCCGTCGGTCGGCTCAGGTTTGCCGCGCCTCCGAAACGCGCTTGTTGTGACCGTGCTCGTGACAGCGAGCAAAAGCACAATCGTTTCAACTGGGCCACTTTTCATAACGTTGCGGATGCGAGGCCCGTGTATAAGGCACCGAATGGTTTGGCCTCAGTTGCCCCGACTCAATTCGTCAGCCAGACAGACAGTCGTGAGCATCTCACTCGCGTCTCTCTCAGAGGCAACTGTGCGAATCCCTCTGCACAAAAGTGCTTTTGGTCTGACGACGCGGTAAGTAAGAGGGGCTAAGCAACGGAATCCAACACCACAGGAGACAAAAAGACAAACTGCCGATAAGGCCTTTGCTATAAATTTCAGAAGATGGTTACATGAATAACAACATGTGCCGGCACTTTTGTGCCTCTTAACTTTTGTTTAGTATCCGTTGCAACGTAGCAACGTATATTGTGATTGTGAACGACGTCGTGTCTTACAATCCATATGTCCTCCCTGGAATGGCATTTTATTGCTTCTTTTACGGCATGGCTGGGGGGGGCTAACGATGAAAAATCGGGGCTTTTTTTAAATCGTGTTTTCTCATGTGCTCCGTGAAATTGCATATTTCACATCATCTAATCCGAATCTGAAAATAAACTGGATTTGACACTTGCGTAACTTGACGCGCTTTTTGCAGCTCCGATTTGACTGGAGAACTTCATCACGGAAAAACTCCATTTTTTTTGGTTTTTTTTTTTTTTTTATTTTAAATTCTTATTTTAAACACAATGGGGTTTGTTTACGAGCCCGGACAACAAATAATTCCATGTACAAGTTCAGGGAACCACTTTGTAGTGAAAAAAAAAAGACATTTAGCACCACATTTCTGGACATCTATGGATTACAAATATTTCCTCATTACTCTTACCATATCTGAAATCAACTTTCATAACAGAAATGAATGGAATCCGTTCAAATTTCAACCCAAGCGTTTTTTTTTTTTTTTTTTTTCCCAGCCTAGCAGGTGAATGAGGAGACGACGCGAAACCGCTTGGAGGTAGCGCAAACTGAACGAAAGCCCTTTTTTTTTTTTCCTTCACACATTTCAGTGTTGAGTGTCTTGTTTCTTTGTCGGTTTGTATTATTTTCGGTCTTTGCATTTGGTATGTTTTGATCATGCCGTGTACGTTTTGCAGTAAATCATCCCGAAGTGGGATTTACACGTCTGCGCGATGCCTCAGGGCGGGCCCCCTCGGGCGCCCTCATTCGTCCTTTTCTCCCTGCGGTGCGGCGCGCTCTCGGGCAGCCGCATCCGAAGTGACCTCATAAATTCAGGAACAACCGCCAAAATAAAGTTGACCTGACTAGACTACAGATCAGAAGGATAAGTTTTTTTTTGGGGGGGGGGGGGGACTATGGAATGATGCAGGAGTACAGTAGTAGACAATTAGGTCATTTTGGAAAGGAATTCTGAACACATCGAGCAGCAGGGGGAGGAGGGAGAGTCGACGAAGTAGGAGGAGGAGGGGGAGGAGGGGGAGGCAGATCGCGCTGCAAATATGGAAGCACTTACAACCCTGGCAAGGGTTAAAAAAAAAAAAAAGAGCGGAGGATAAAAACAGCTCGTTTATGGCAAAAGCCGTCAGAGGCGGTAAGTGGCGGCGTTCCTCTGAGAGCATCCAGAAGGAGGAACCTTCCCTTCCCTTCCCTTCCATCCGGCTCCTTTCCCGCTCAGGTGATCTCCGGCAAAGAACGGATAAAGTCATCGTCTCTTTTCTGGACCCGCTCCATCCCCTCCGTCACCTTCGTCATCTCGTCGTCGTGGCCGCGCGCGGTCACAAAGTCTGGACTTTGCCCGCGGACGTCGGCGGCCCGGCTCTGAATGCGACCGCCCGCCAGGAGCCCAAATGCGTTTGCCACTCGTCGCCATTGCGATGTCTTTGCTTTGCGACGCCATCAGGAGCCAGAGTCGGTGGGACGGTGAGTACGCGGGGCGCGATTTCATGCGCGCGCTTTCCGGGCTCCCCCTAAAAGCCGCCTTCGCATATTCTTCGGAGACAACGCTTTGACGTTGTGACCTTCCTTTAAAGTATTTGGATTTTGAAGCGCAATTTTAGTTGCGCCTTTGAAACATGCTTTGATGTGGTATCGGATTGACGCCGACAACAATCGGTCTTCTGCTGGCGGATTTTCCAGTCCTGTGTGTGATTTTGATCGGAGACTTTGAACAGCAAATTGATTTCACCCGGCGTAGCGGCCGTCGTCATCCCCCAAAAATGATGAAATCAACGCGTGAGATGTTCGCGTTGCGCTCGAGAGCCGCTATCCGAGACCAAGTCTCGCCCGGGACCAGAACTCGCTCACCGAGACCGATGAGAGGAGACCAAGACTTTGGGAGTAGAGACGAAGACAAGACCGAGCGAGACTTTTGAGAGTTCGGAATGAGACGAATCCGAAAGCGAGACAAAGAAAAGACCGAGACCGCGACAAGACCGACACCGTAAGAATCCGTGACAAGATCCAACAATTAAAAAGAGCCTTCTCCCTTTCGGTTTCATTTTCTTTTAAAAACGTTTGACGGCCCAAAAGCGCAGTGTCGGCACCCGGACATTTTCCAAAAGATCGAAATTCTTGTCGGAAAAAAAAGCAAATCGTACGTATTTCAAGACGAAGACTTTTTTGAGCCCTAAACACGCACGCTGGGGTCTGATACGAATGCACGAAAGAGTCGAACCCCTTTTCGGCGTACCCCGTTTACGATGGTTCCACCCCTATAACGTTCACGTTTCAACGTGCCTTCATTATAACGACGGGATTTTGCCCACCGAATAGTGAAAAGGCCTTCGTAAGGACCAACAACCCCTGGAAAGCTGACCGCCGCCGCCGCCGCCGCCGCCGCCGCCACCTTGCTTCTGAACAAAATGTACAGCGCGGGATTCCCCTCCGTTGCTTAGCAACACGACTGCCCGACTCGGGCCGTTGTCGCACTTGCCGCCGTCATTCCCGGAGGCGCGGCCGGCGCGCTCTTCAGCACGTGGCTTGAAAACAGGCCCGCCCGCTCAACGGGAGCGAATCTCGTTGTCCGCGAAGGCCGAAAAGGTCTCTCCCTTTCCAAAGGGGGTCTCTCGGCTATGGCGAGTAACATTTGCCGACGGAATGTTTTCAGAGATCAAGTAGGAACGCTGCGGTGGTTTGTTTCATGTCTCGAGTTTTTTTTTTTTTTTTTCTTCCTACACGCATAATTGTAATTGACATGTTGAGATCGTATGACCCCGTTCGTGTTTTTCCGTCTGTAAATGCTCTTGCTGTATCGTACGTCGTAGCTGGCGGCCATTTGATTGGAAATGGTTTCAACGGCCGACCGTTCGAACGGACGGATTCGTTATGTCCTTCAAGGTACGTTGTCACGAGGTTCGACTATAATTCCAATAACGTGGACTGTATATACCGTACGGTACGGTATTTTTGTCATGACGTTGGCCGGCGGCGTCTCACTCGCTCCAACCCGGAAATGGATTTTTTGTCGACAGCATACGCAGCGATTCATATTTGAAAGCTTCTGTAAATTTGATGAGCCGTAATTTGCGATGTTGCCGCACAGCGGCAATTCATATTTTGGAGGTGGACGAGCGCGATTGCGGGCTGCAGACTTGCCTCGCAGAAAACGAGATGGCGGAGCTCCACGTTGACGGCCGCCCGTTTGAATGGAAAAGCATCCCGAGGCCGAGCGGGGCCGAGCGGGGGGGGGGGGGCCGGTGCCTTCCGGGGTCGGGCATTTCTGGAACCCGTAATGGAAAAGTAGCTCAAGACTCGAGTCTGAGACCGTCCAAGACCTTCAAAATGTGTTTTGAGTATAGAGATGTAGATTAAAGGCGACCGTTTGATTTCCACGAGAGCACGTTTCCTTACGTAAGCGCAACGTTGCGAGCGACGGCGTCTCCTGCACATGCGGGGCCTTTTAGGGACACATTTGGTTCACACGGCAGACCATCCAAGGTTCCAATTAAGATGGAATGTCAACGCTACATGCGTGCAGGCAGGCAGACATCAATAACGCAAGCTGCCCTTCACCCAAAAATGTGAACTGAGCGCGAACACCTCCAATCTGAACGTGGCCTTCGCCAACAATGCTGAGTGATCAGAGTGAGGCTAGATCCTCGCGCGTCGGATCTGTCAAGCTTCGGTGAGGAGGGAACCGGTCAAGCACCAAGGGAAGGGAAGGGAAGGGAAGGGAAGGGAAGGGAACGGCGCTTATTTTCACTTCTGCCGCTCGGTCAGCTCCTCACTTGGTTTTTCTGCCCGGCTCAAAGACCTTCGAGAAAGAATTTGTCACCGCGGTTGTTTGTTCGGTCCGCTCGGTGCGAGCGCAGACTTGGTTTTGGACGCGGCCGACCGTTTGATTCGAGTCGTGAATCGGTCCCGCGCCGGCGCGGGACGTTTGTGATCGAACATCGGGAAGTCGTGACGCCGCAGCAAAAATTGTAGCTTTTCAACCGCAATTTGACTTGCGGTCGCCTCGCGCGCATTGCGGTCTTTGAACAACGACTTAACGTCTTCATCCTCCGCTTCGCACTTCCTCCGCCGTCCTTTATCCAAAACACATCAAACGCACGCTCGGTGATCCTTTTTAGTCATCGCGTGGAGCAAAGGGAGACAGATGTGGCGTTAAGCGTTAACATCATCCGCCGGGCCGAGGAAGCCCTTCTTCCCTGGAGACTCGCAACTTTTTCCCAAAGCTCGCTAATTCAAAGCACGAGAGCCGCGTCTCTCTTCACATCTTTCGGATGTTTTTAGATCTTCGACAAAGCCGCGCTATTCTTCCTTCGTGAAAACGCTCAACCGCAAAAGGTTGCGGTGACTGTCGCCACCAGACATCAAAGTTCCCTCCCTCAAGGCTTGACATTTCCGGCGGCTGTTTCTGCAATCAAAACAGTTGTTGTTTTTTCCCTGCGTTGTGGTCAATTCTGTTTTATGGTGCGATTTATATCATAAAGTGCGATTTTTCTCTGATCAAAAAGAGGCTCGCTTTTCCACGCCGCTATCGTTCTCTTCTACATCCTCCGGGGCGAGAAAGAGCACAAAAGGTGTTGCGTGACGCTTATCGCATCTTCTTTGAAGGCCGTCGGAAATCACGGCGTCGTACCGTATGCGGCAAAAAGAAAAGTAGCGATTGTGCGGATGAAAAGTCATTCTTGGAACGCTTGCACGCATCCGCGTGGACTATTTGCGTCCGGTCGGTGGTTTCCCCACACTGAGCCGGTCCGGGCCCCGCGGGCTTCCTTCCACCGCCTCTCATCTGACTTCCCCACTTGTGATCGAAAACTTGACCTGACTCGGCTGCTGTTCAGCAACTCCAAAGTCTTGCCTGAGCAATCAAACGCTGCGTCGCTCAAGGTGGGGTCGCCGTCCACCCCCGCATATTTGCGCTTCAGCACCGCCAGATTCGTGATGAGATCTTTTTTTTTTTTTTTTTGGGCGGTGATCCAGAAGACACCTGCGGGCCAAGATAAAAAAAAAAAAAAATCTGCAAATAATTGACACTCATCAGAAATACATTTTGGAACACCCTCCCCAACCCCAATTTCTTCCCAAAAATGGACATAAATGTGCAATGTGGAGTTTGGCTCCGACACCCCCAGAAATAAATCAACAAATAATTCATTTTGAAATACTGAAACGTGGACTGAAAAGTGAATGCACGGACAGGCATGCGGGGCTCCACAGTAGACCTCAGCCTATTCAAGAATTTGTGGGGGGGTGTTAACGAAAAGGATTTGATCAACTCCAATCGATTTTTGGCAAGCAAGTCGCCAGCTCTAAAAATGCGGAGTCTTCATCGCGACTCCAAAATGTGTTTCGCCGCACCAGTAGCCAGCTGGGCCTCGCCGCTAGCTAGCGGCTACGGCTTCCGTGGCACCAAACTTGCCTGGACCTCGAGCCCCGACGTGAGCGGCTCGCATGCCCGCTCCCCACCGAAGCCCTTTCGGGATGTCTCGGCGGATGATTTTCCTTTTTGCTCCGCGGTATGTTTTGATAAGGCGCGGAAATGCACATTTTGTCTCACAAACCGCGAGGCGAAAGCACTTAATTTGCCCCTTGCAACGGCAACGTCTCTCATTTCGATGGTCGCGAGCCTTCTCCGCAGCCGTCGTGTGGCACGTCTACGTCGTAACATTCCCGTAGGAAGGACGAGCGGTTGAAAGAAGCGTGTGCGGCGCCGCCGCATTTGCACCTGCCGCCGTTAAAGACTTGATGGGGAATGTCCAAACGGACGGGCATTTTTATCATGTCGCACATTCACTCCGGCGGAAATCCCATTTATGCCCGTGAACAACCAGAGAGCTTAGCGTGACTTTGGAAAGAGATTGACAAAGATGTACACAGAAAGCCCGGAGGGACAATCCTGTTGCAGCCAGTCCAAATCATGAAGGACCACGCGTCTGCTCTACGTTCGACATCAAGCGCACGTGTGGAGACGTGCCTGAAATTCTTTGGATTTCAACTGTAGCGCTCCTACCTTGACCCGATCGGGCGCCGCGGCATCCGTGGCCACAGAGAGGCCTTTGTCATCCTGCGCCACCTGCTGCCGGTTAGCGTCCATCAAATGGCTTTGCAGTTTTCTGCAGATGGGTCGCACATGTGACGAGTAAGCCCCCCCCCCCCACCCCCCCACTTCCAAAAAGTGGACAGACGCACCTGAGCATTTTGCCGTTGTATGTGACTGGGAAGGGCTGGTTTGCGTCAAGTGCGTCAAAATCATTTGGAAAATGGACAGACGGACATTTACGTCACGTGTGCATGCGAATGGACACGCGCTAGCTTATACTGCACGTGCGTGTGCGTGTGCGTAAATATCTTCTGTTTTCTTCCATGAAACCTTAGTGAGACGTGACAGCTACTTCTTGGCTACTGAGTCATGTGAGTGGCTACCAGTTTGACGCACATTTCTGAAATGTGTTCGATGCTGTTTTTAATCACGATAGGACCGAAGGCAGCGACGACGTTAATGATTCCTCACAATAGTTAGGCAACGATATGGACGCAAAAGCCTGATTTCCGCAAAAAATCGGCTTTTGGATGATCCCTTTCCGCAGCGCGTCCCATCTCTGGCGAGCTACGCCCGACTCGATTCAAACGATCAGCGAGTTCGCAAGCTTTGCGGAAGCCTGAGAACGACGCCGAAGACATCGAAACCAATGTGGAGATTCAAGTATGCGGTGCGTGCGACTTGACAGACAGATGTTTCCGTGACGCGCGCCGACCGAGCTCCGTTTTATGCGTCCGTGAATGGACGGACGGACAAAGGCTTTCGGTGCGGCGGCCAGGGCGACCCCGCGCCTCACTGAGGGGGTGGGTGGCCGCGTGTCACCGCGTGGTCCTCGCATATCGGAACATCCGCCGTCGGAGTTTCACAAACTCAAATGCACGCGCGTCCTCGACGCGCTCGCGATACGAGCGGCAACGCGTCCAAATAAGAAGAGAGGTTCATTTTCGAGATCATGTCATTTTCTTGGACGTGGCTTTGCTTTTGTGTCCTCTCTCGTCATTTTTTGGTCTTAGTCATTGCGCTGATTCGCTAGCTCACACCCGCTCAGAGTGATCAGCCTTCACCGAGGGTCGATGGCATTTTGCATATTCTGATCAATGGAGGCTTGTTCATTCAAATGGCATCGAAAAAGCACACCGACACCAACATCTCATGGTTCCCGACAAGTTTGCTTTTGGTCGTGCTCGCATGATGAGGACGCTGGGCAAGGGTGGCACGGGTGCGCGTGCGCGCATCGGATCGCACGAAGCCCCCCCGACAGCCGACGCCATGATCAACGGGGACTTGACGGCCATGTTGGCCCGTTCTTGTCACGGTGTTGCGCGATTGTTCCTTGAAGTTAAACGCTCTGTGGGAGCGCTTTGGTTACAGCCGCAGCTGTTGCGAAATCAAGATGCGGTATATTGTAAAAATCCGAGGCGCTTCACAGAGGACAGATTCTTTGCGAGCGATTCTTACGATATGCAGCAAATGTCTTTTTTTCTTCTTCCTTCTTTCTACCCACAATCTTGCTGCTGTAGACTGTAAGTTTGCCCAGTGTGGGACAAATAAAGGATATCTTAATCTTAAAAAGAAAAGAATGACGACGAGATGTGACGAAAGCGTCGATTACGCTTTCAAAGTGCTCTTGAGAAAGCTGAACCTGAGCCAGCGGCTTAAGACGGAAAAAGCTGAATGAGAGGAGCGCGGGCCTCTTCCGATCGGGAAGCTCGCGAAAATTCCCTCAAAAGCTGCGGATGGACAGGGCCCGGGACGCAGCGCGACAAAGTACATCCGTGCGCTCGGGGAATCAACGGAGGCGTCTTTCAGTTCCCGTTTGAGCATCGCGGATGACCGCCGCGTTCGCCGCCGCGGCGCTTCCGCCTCCAAAGGCGATCGGCGGGTACGTCTCCCGGAAAACGGACCATCAAAATTGCCCGTCGTCAGCCAACAGAGACTCGGTCAGAATCGCACCAAACACTGAAAAGAAAAGAAAGACCAAAGAGCAGGAGCGTCGCCGCCATCTCGGATTGTTTTTTGGTTTTTTGTTTTTTTTCCTTCCCTAACCCACGTCCCAGCTTCTAACCGGGAATTCTACAGCCGGGCCTGTAAATCAAGGAGGCACACGAGCGGGCTTGTCGCGAAAAGCGGCCGCGTGGGCGCCCACTAAAACTCTCCCATCTAATTTGCGCTTGCATCGATGGACCGCTTTTGTCATGCCGCTGATGCGAACGGGCAGACGGATGTTGAGCTCTCATTTCGAAATCTGTTCACAACATGCTTTGTTGGCGTTTCCAGGAGGGATGTTGGAGAAGCACTTTCTGAGTACTCGCCGATATGGAGTCGTGACACCGCGAGCACTTTTGGGATGGAACGCTTCATTCAACACACGCAGATGATGATTGGCCACGTCGCGCCACCTACGGCAGAGGACGACTTACTTATTCAATGTTCCATGTGCTTTTTTTTTTCAACTTCAACATGAGCGGCCGATGTCGGCAGCCCCCGCGAGTGCCCCGCATTGGCCTGATACCGTACCAACACTCGTATCGGTACTCGCCTCTCGTTCCGCGTGACAGTCCTATGCCTCTTTAAAAGGTCGGGCTGTACGCACGGCGGAGTAGGAACAGAGTTCCGCTGTGACCGTTTCTAGTGCTGGATTACGTTCTCGTTCCGCTTGGTAAGAAACGATTGCGACTGAGCGACACCCGCGGTCACAAAGCGAGGCGGGCACGGCGGCACGGCGGCCCGCCTAAGACGTTGCGCGGTGATACAAGGTGGTCGGGAGGCGGATTCGAGCGCTTGCGGACACGCCCGCTTTAGTCCAAACGGACTAAAGGCCAGCAAATGCGGCGACGGGTGGTCAGAACGTGCAGATTATTATTCGCTCCGGGCCCCGATGTTGGCTTGCACGTGAGGAATAAACGGGTCTTTCCACCACCCGCCGCCAAGCGAATGGATCGACGCATGCTGACATTACGGGCGCATGTGAAGAGACAGCCGGCCGGGTCTTCTTATTACTTTCCTCTTATAAGCACATTTACAACGCAAGCGCACACAGTTCAACTTTTCGGAGCGCCAACCTGTATAAACTAGCAAAAAAAATCCTTATAAAGAGCAAAAAAAAAAAATCCTTCTAACATACCAAAGCATTTTATATGTCAAAATAACGGCAGAAAAAAAACCCCACGAAATATGAACGATATATTTGTTTCCTTGTAGAACTTGCTTGTACACTACCCAAGAATGCGATGAATACTCTGCTGTTTTCAACTAGGAACCGCGTGATTTACTGGAACGTTAGCGGAAATGAAAGCATTCGAGTAGACGAGCACCATTCTGGGCAAAAGCAAACGGAACTACGAACAACTATTTCCAGAATCCGTATGATTTGTGCGATACGGCCATATACGTAAGATTCAGCACAAAATCCGTACGAACTATGGCTAAACCGTATGAGTTGACAGGTATGGCAAGCGTGAAAGCGCGCGCGCGTGTTCACGCCTGGAGCAAAACTGTTGCTGGGAGTGCACTTTTTTTGATTGACCTTTTTTGTTTTTCTTGTTTGCGGCCGCCCCCAGCCGAGCGAGATCGGTCGGGGAGTTGCGCCAACTGCAAAGAGTGTTCCCACGACAACGGCTGCGTCCGCTGCGCCGAGCGCCTCTTCCTGCTGCTGCGGCGGCGCGGCGTGTCCCAGCACGGCAGCTGCCTGACCACCTGCCCCGAAGGATACTTTGGACAGAGGGGAGCCCACCTCAACCGCTGCCTGAGTACGCAAACGCCGACACTCGTGCAAAAACATCAGACGCCGTGCGCGTACGCCTGTTTTCAAGGGCGACTGAAAGGTTCTTGTCATTTTAGACGCGGCTGAGTGACGCTCCAGTAAGATTTCTTGCATTGCTTTTTCCCAACTTGTTTTTAATCCATCCCGCCGTAGCCCGGATTTTAGATCGTTTCTACGCAGCGTACGCGACGCTCACATTGTGCCCTCGTCGTCGCCGTTGTGTGCAGAGTGTCGCCCGGCCAACTGCGAGCGCTGCTTCGGTCGGGATTTTTGCACGCGGTGCAAATCGGGTTTCCGGCTCTACAACGGCCGCTGCGTGAACGACTGTCCCGCCGGAACCGTCAAGAACGACGCCCAATGTCTTGGTGAGGAAGGCCCACATTCATCCCAAAAAAAAAAAGGAAACCGTTTGATCGAGCAACATGACATTTGCAAGACAAGTCGAAAAAAAAAAAAAAAAAAAGCTCAAAACACAAAAAAAA